AAAACAGTACTTGGAAAAGAAAAACTCAAATGTTCCTATGATTTGAAGAACTGTATGTATATTACATATACAAATAAATTCCCGCTTAAATGGTTTGTTCTTTGATGGTACTCAGGTCAGATCTAAACCAAAAGCAAAGAAGTCTCCATGAGAGTTTTAAACCAAAGGTTATTCTGGCAGGGGCCAGGGGCACGGAGGGGAGGAGCTCACTAACATCCCATTCAGAACAGGAATTAAACTACTCCCTGGTTTCCAGAAACTTTCACTTGTGGTGCTACAAATCTTAAGTAGCCGCACTTTTTTTACTTGTTTAATCTCAGGGCAAACCATAATCTATGTGCAACCAGGTAACAAAGTCAAATTTTTTAAGTTGTGCAAATATCCAAATAATAATAATAAACCCATAATGATTGTGTGTCAGTTCATTCAAATGCAAAAATCTTTAAAGATTGTGATGAAAAGAGGTGAATATCTGTTGCTGGAAAAAATGCTAATAAGCCAGTTCAGGAGTTACAGTGAGGACTATCATGAGGAAGAAATGCTGGCAGATAAGAGAAGAGTAAGTCTGATTTCAAACAGAACTGTGCACTTCTGGCTGAACCTGGGTCTTTCCTGTGAAATGCAACCAGAATACTGTTCTCTGCCAGAAAACAGTGATGCTAATAGAAGCAGAAATGTTTTCTTCCCAAGTTAGCTGAGGAAAGATGTAGCAAAGGACATTGACAAAACTACTCAAAGAGTTGGATTTAACTCCATGTCAGAGATGTACTACCTCGGATTCTAACAGAGAGGCTGGGGGGGGGGTGGTGCCCCAAGTCAGCAGAAGGGCAGGGGTGGCTGCATTATTACTCAAGGGTGGTTGCTGCTGTTAGTTTGAATTCTCCTCAGGACCTCTGAAGAAGACACCTGAGGCCACTGCCCGGGAATAGGAGAGCAGGGCCAGATAGGCCTGGTTCAAGGTCCTTCTTAAAACCAAGCAGGAGGTGGGTAGGGAGGGGCAGGAGGGCAGGAGGGAGAGGGGGCAAGAAAAGAAAGAAGTAGAAGCTTCCAAGGGAGGGCAGAAGGGCAGAGGGGCGGAGGAGACAGATCCCCAGGCCATAAGCATCCTAAACTAAGGACAGAACAAAGAACTAGTTTCACTGCTTTCAAATACACACAAAATGTCACTCCCACTGAAAGGTCTTTATTTATAGTTTAAACTCAATTATAGTAATACTAAAGGCAAATTTGAAAAATCATCATATTCTCAGTATTCTAACAAGGGCATTTTCAGTTCTCCAATTGCCTTGCTGTGTCTTTAATTCAGTTCCCATCTTCACTGAGCATGCTCTCTGCCAGGCCCAGGTGCAAGGATCACAAGACAGGCTTCTACCACCAGAAGGGCTCAAACATACTTGCATCCTCAGGTGACTCACGGTCACTTGAATTACATACTTTTTTCTTTAAGAGACATTCTTGAGCCATGGAATGTCATTTGTTTCAAGTGTACCAAAAGTAAATGTGTAAAAAAAAAAAAAAAATAGGGAGACTGGTGCCCGGATGGCTGTGGGTTAAGCATCTGCCTTTGGCTCAGGTCATGATCTCAGGGTCCTGGGATCGAGTCCCACATCAGGCTCCCTGCTCAGCAGGGAGTCTGCTTCTTTCTCTCCCTCTGCCCCTGCCTCCCAACAATATCTCTCTCAAATAAATGGATAACATCTTTTAAAAAATAGTAAGAAATTCTCTAATATACCAAAGACTCAAATGTGTTTTGGTTCAAAGTATAGGAAAAAAAAGAATGTCAAAGTTTTTCCTAGAAGCTCCACTTCATTTAGGTATAGTAGAATCAAATGTTATTAGAGTTCAGTTCGCTTCCCCTTTTATAGTTTTGGAACCATATAACATGGGTGATAATACTTCAATATACTTAATACTTAAGAATGATGAAAGAAAGGCACTGTCTAATGAGAAAGACCAAAATATTTACACATATATATTGTGATTAAAGACATATATAGGTAGGCTAAGGTATTCTAAAGTCATTCAAGATCTAATATCTTTATTCATACAGTAGTTTTACAATTTCATAAAAATCCAACAGAAGGCTGTCCTTCCTATTTAAAAAGTGGACGCTAATAGGAACAAAAAGATTATAGTAGTATATAACTCTTAATTATTCACTCCAATAGTTAATCATAAACAAAGCCTTTTGGAGTTAACTTTTGTGTCCTAAGTAGACAGTGATTTAATAAAGCTAATGATGAGATTGTACAAAAATGTTTCAATAAATACATACTGTCTGATTGACAAACTGAATTCGTGGCCATTCTTTTTTTCCTTTTTTTAAAAAGATTTTATTTATTTATTTACTTAAGAGAGAGAGAGAGAGAGACAGTAAGCAAGCAGGGGCAGGGGGAGGGGCAAAGGCAGAAGGAGAAGCAGACTCCCTGCTGAGCAAGGAGCTTAAGGCAGGGGTTCAATCCCAGGACCCCAGGATTCTGACCTGAGCTAAAGGCAGACGCTTATCTGACTGAGCCTCTCAGGTGCCCCATGAATTTGTAGCCATTCTCACATACTACTATTAGATATTAGCCAGCACTCAGGGTCACCATATCTGTCCCATTCTAAATACCTTTGCTGATAATGCTATTGTTAGGTTACCATTACCCCTAAGGGCTACCATTTGTTGAGTGCTATGTGCCTGGCACCAACCCCCATGTTAGGGGCACTAACCCCCATGCAGTCAAAAATCCACATATAACTTCTGTCTCCCCCAAAACTTACCTACTGATAGCTTACTGCAGACAGAAGCCTTAATGATAACATAATCGATTTACTGTATTTCGTATGTAACATGTGTTCTATACAGCTTATTACAACAATGTAAGCTAGAGGAAAGAACATGTTAAAACCATAAGAAATAGAAAATACATTTACAATACTGTACATTTATTTATTGAAAAAAAAAAAACCTTCATATAAGTGAATCCACACAGTTCAGACCCATGTTGCACAAGGATCAACTGTATAGGACCAGCCTGTTTAAAACCATGAGAAGTAAATGTTATTATCTCTGCTCTTCAGAAAGTGCAACAAAAGCTACTTCTATGTTGCAGCTCACTCATTTAATGCTCACCATAATCCTTGACAGATGAAGACACCAGGGCACAGAGCCACCAGTCTTCCCAACATCACATACATCATGTGACAGAGCACACAGATCTTTGGGATGCCAAAGCCACGATCTTATCCACCGTCCCCAAGGAATGTGGCTCTCCATGTCTGCCCTCCATCCCATCTACAATAAGGGCTAGAAGAACAGATAGGAAAGGGGCCAGGGCTGGTGTGGCCAGAGCTGAACCCCTAATCCACAAGCCAACTCTTAAATCGGGTTGGGACCTATGCCCCAAGGTTCCCTGAAGAAACTTACAACCAGGAAACTGAAATCCGGCCTCATAGCTGGCACAGCTCAGTGGTCCCAGGTATGTGTGACCCAATAAAGAGCCTTGTTCTGAATAGGTGCCCTATGTCCATTCAATGGTCACCAACTGCTTACTTATTATGACCTACTATGTGCCCATCCACACTAGGCTCCTGCTTACTGAGCTAAATAAGCCAGAGGCCAACCTCAACAACCTACAGTGTAGGGAGACCAACAACATGGAAACAAAAGCTGTTGGAATCATGGCAAAGTTCTTGCAGCAGGGAGCATCAAGGAGGGAGGGCATTGATTCTAATAGTGTGCATGGAGGTTAACAAAGCCTAAAGGGAAGGGTAGTAGGGAGCCGAGTCTTGGAAGTAAGGCCAGGAAGCCTTACTCCAGGAGGAAGGCAAGAAGCCACGGTGAGCAGCAGTCCCGCTGGGAGGAAGACACCTGTGCTGGCCATGAGCTGACTCACAACCACTGACCTAAGGACAGACAGAGGCACTGGGAAAATGAGACTAATGTCCCAAGAATCACAGAGTAGTATGTGTTCACTACGGAAGATGTTTTCGGCTTAGGAAGAAGTTCTCCATTCCCACCCAGCACCCAAAACTAGGGTGCTCACCTTGACCTAAGTCCAGGCATCCCAAGGAATACTGCAATGACTAACGCATTCTTAATGCCATTTGGCCTGTGACAGCTTAACCACAAAGGAACCTCAAAACACCAACGTGAACTAAAAGCACATGGGAGTGCCAGCAGCCACCCCACACCATAGAAACTGCCCTTTCAATTAGCAAAGACCAAGAACAAAAATAAATAAATAAGGTGCTAAAAAAATAAGGTATATTTGGCAGAAATTATGAAACCACGTTTACCAACTAGATGAAGGCACTCAGTACAGACTGCACACCTTTATTAACAGGAGTCTACTCATGGAGAGGAATGTAACATGTCTACACCTCGAATGAAGCATCTCTGGAGAGCGGCTTTAGTGTAGACAGCCACATTCTATGTTATAGACCTGCGACATCTCATTTTTGTGCAATCTAGGTACTGTGTTAGTGGTCGCAAAAAAAATATAGCAAATCTCATGCCAAGTGAGAATACTTAGAAAATCACTCGTCGGGAGACAGTACACCTGCTGTGCTTTTTACTCATCCCTGAAAGCGACTGTGACTCTAACAGTCCACACCGGGGAGGTTATACATATCCACAGGATTCACAAAAAGCCACTGCAGGTAAACACTCGGGCAACTTGAGAAAGGGCCAGGAGAGCCCTCGCATTCCTGCCACGGGCCAAGAGACAGGGACGGAGTATGTGTGCCCAGGACTGTGCGCAGCACAGGGCGGACTTCCCAAAGGCGTGCTGGACGAATTCATGGCAAGAAAGGAGAGGAGGAAGGAGCGGAGGAGGCGAGAAGAGAAAGGAGGGAACAGAAGGGAGGAATAGAAGGTAAATCGGAATGGAAACAGTGGACATCTAAATTCTGCTCAACAAATAAAAGATCGTTTTTACTTTACGATCGTCAGTGTTACACATACATTTAATAATAGACGTTTTAATACAGAATTACCTTTGATTCCCCTTTCATACCTTCAAGAGTCCTGTTAATGCTCAATTCAAGACGCAGAAAAAAACAGGCTAGGTGCTCTGGATGTCCAGCCAGCGATTTCTAAAGGGAAAGATTTAAAAATCAATTTGGAGAACAAAAGTGATTAATTTTTCAAGTATCGTTAAAAAGAGACCGATTTTCACTGAAGAGACAGTGTATTTCCTAATATACCTGGGGAAAAAAATTCATGCCCAAAGCCTCTTGCAAATAAATACAGCTGCTCTAGCAAACTTGAAGTTGATTCTAGAAGAAAACAAACATCAATCGTAGGGTGGGCTTTGTTTGTGCATTTATTGGAAAACAAACCAAACAAGGAGCCTGTGTACTGCTATTGCCTATAGCCCCCGCCGCGGTGCCCTGTGCCACTCTGAACACAACACCTCCGCCCACCTGGTCAGTCCTTCTAGGTCACTAAACCATGCAGGAAACAAGGTAGCCCCTCACCAACAGCTGCATCACTGCAGAAGGAATTTGAGAGACTTTAGGAACTTTGCTAATGATTGTAAGCGAATAAAATATTATAAAATAGGCATTTTAGCCAGTCTCATTCTCCAAATGCCGCTATGCATGAACTCACACACACATGCCCAGTTGTCCAGGGGCTTCTTTCTCTTGGAGCCAGGACAGCAGAGCTTGGAGGCAACATTGTCCCAAATTGCGAGCACACAATGTTTCATCTTTCAGAAAGGAAACAATGAACACTGACAGCACTTACTCAGGCCCAGAAACAATGAGATACCATTTTACAAAGGGGAAAAACTGAGGCTTTTTTGAGGAAAGTTGATGGATACCACAGGTCTGACACATCAATGCTTTTATTAGACTTGGATCAATCATGAAAGTGATTGTTATCTAAATACCTGGCAACTCGCAAGACGATGCAGTGGTGGAAAATTTAAACACCTTCCCCCTTCAGCATCTGCTTTCCTTGGATGCCATCAATCCAAATAACTACATCTTTCTTTACTTGAAAGTGAGAGCTAGAGACAGGGAAGGAAGATGCGCAGACTGCAAAAGATATCTTTTTTTTATTCAGATGCACTGTATTTTCCCCATGGATACAGGAGTAATCAATAGTAAAATTTTTAAGGAGGCACTGGGGACTTCGACAGGCAATGGCTAAGAACCACTTCAATGCCAACGTCCCAACCATCATTACGTTCTTTCTGGAGTAATGTGTACTGAACAGTATGCCAGAAGTTTATTAACAAGGCTGCAAATCTTGACCTAGATTTTGCATAGCTTCAAAAAATAAAAATAAAAAAACAGAGCCTGAAAATGTCTATTTAAATAACAACTAAGACTGATACTTCCCACACCCACATTTAAAACTTTCAAAATCATCTACTTTCCCCCATCCCTGTATCTGACAATGTTCAACAAGAACATTAGGTAAAAATTAGTACCAGATTCAAATAGAAATATGAACTCTATGTCCTTCAGATCTTTTTTATTGTTTACTCTTTGCAATTTAAGGTTTTATTCGCCTGCTGAAATATATGATTCCAGAATTCAAATGAATAAAATCATACACATTTAACAAAGTATTGGAGAAATTTTTATTGAAATTGGACCCAGAGCTATTTGAGATTGATGGTGACTCATAACACAGTAAAAAGTTTTATATTTAACTATTTTTCCAAATAGTATTTTTTTGTCTTGCCCTAAATTATATCAAAAATGCCTTTAAAAAATCCTTTTCATCTTTATCATTATTTTTGCTCTCCTTTCTTTCACTTATGAAGAGAGAAAACAACAAAGAGGTCAATCCTTCCTCTAATGATTGAGAAATGCCAGTCACACCATTATGATTGGGATGGAGAATAACACCATAAATGAATTTCAGGATTGGGTTTATCTTCAAAGTCGCCATGTGACATCAAAACCATTCTAATAAAAAAGAATTCATATCACATAGTTTAAAGCCAAGGGCTTGTAACCCACTCCTTTTACATCTAAGGAAATGAAAGCCTGGAGTGGTCAACTGACCTCTCCAAAGTCATACAGCTCAGCTGGTTCTAGAGCTCAGATTTCATAGGTGCCAATCTAGTGCTCTATTAGATCATAACTGATCTTTAATTTCCATAAACAAGCTCTTCAGAGCTTACAATTTCATCTATTTTCTATGTATCTATTACTCCACACAGCATGAACACCACTTGATGAGTCAACTTAACTTTCTATTAATATGAAACACTATTCAAAATGATCAAAAACATAACTCTGCCTTTCGCTCCACTGAAAAGATTAAACCACCAATGCCCAGGAGAAATCTGAAATAAAATTTGGGATACTTTTAGGTTGTCTAACCTAGATACGTCTACTCTAAAAATAGAATTTCCCTCTTATTCACAGTCAAATCATAATCATAGCTTTGCTAAACATATTTTCAAGAAGGTTTTATAGATAGCTAGCAAGCAAAATGTAGGTATACTACAGTAAAAGCTTATATAAGCAGTTTTTAAAGTGAGAATTTTAAAGATAATTTACCATTAGATCCATCAGTGCAGACAGAACTCTTATTCTCTAAAACTCAAGAGCACTTAATTTACCTAGCTCAGAAACTTATTATCTTCAACAATCATTTGTTGACTCCTCAACAATCTGCACTGCCAGTGCCAGGTGCACAGAAACCCAAAAGCAGGAGATGCTGTCCTTGCTCACTGGGGGCTGATGAGGGAGATAATTAAGGAGGCTTTCATAGTGGCATCTGACCGAGTCAAGGTGTGCACGTGATGAATGTATATCTGTGAATGTGCACTTGGAGGGGCAGTTAATAGAACTACTTGGGTTTTTCTCAGGGAACATGACTTGACAGATTTAGTAAACAGTACAGCTGGTCCTTGACCAGTGTGGGTTTGAACTTTGAGGCTCACTTATACCCAGATTATTTTTTCTCTGTAAAGGCAGTACAGTACTGTAAATATATTTTCTCTTCCTTATGATTTTCTTAGTAACATTGTTTTCTCTTAATTTACTCTAAGAGTACAGTATATAATACAGATAACATACACAACATATGTTAATTGACGCTTCATGTTACAGGTGAGGCTTCTGGTCAACAGCAGGCTACTAGTAGTTAAGTTTTGGGAGAGTTAAATGTTATATGTGGATTTTTTTTTTTTTACGACAGGTGGGGGATCATCACCCTAACACCTGCATTGGTCAAGGGCCAACTACATATGTACAGAAGCAGGGTAAGATAAATTAGAATAAACCAACAGAAAGCAGAAGAATCCCTCTAACCATGCCCCAAACAGCAAAAAAAAAAAAAAAAAAAACAAAACAAAACAAATATCCTTTGAAAGGGACTCCTTTCTTGAAAATAAGTCAGCAACAAAATACCTTCCACATATTTCTTCATAATCCCTCATAATCATTCACAATACTAAAATCAGAAAGCAAAACTGTAACAATAGGAAGCAGATCAATTACTGCCAGAGGCCAGGGTGTGGAGAGAAAGGGGGGCAAAGAGGACTTAGTGGGGGGGATGGAAATAGTCTACATCATGATTGTAGTAGTGCTACATGCTTGCTCATATTTGTGAAAAGTCACTGAAATGTAGCCTTAACCAGTGAAGTTAATTGTATATTCAAGTATACTCCAACTAAACTGGTTAAAAACAAAACGAAACTCAGGGCCACCATCATTTAACCTGGAAATGAGTAACCTCATCACTAAGATCTGAAAATCCTTCAGCAGACGGTACTTTCCATCTTTAAATACTTAACAATCTGTGATGGGTAAGTAGCTAGAGACCACCAAAAGAGAAAAAGAAAAAAACCAATAGTCAAATTAACTTTATAGGGAAACTAAATTATGCCACTTTTCTACAACTTCCAATAGATTTTACTTTTATAATAGATTTCCATAAAGTGGGCTAATAATACTTAGTCTAAAATAAACCTCCTTGGGGTACCTCCGTGGCTCAGTTGGATAAACGTTTGCCTTCAGCTCAGGTCATGATCCCAGGACCCTGGGATTGAGCCCCGCATCAGGCTCCCTCAGTGGGAAATCGGCTTCTCCCCCTCTCTTCCCTACCCACCCCTTCGTTCATGCTCTCTCTCTCAACTAAATAAAATCTTTAAAAACAAATAATAGGGCAGCCTGGGTGGCTCAGCGGTTTAGCGTCGCCTGCAGCCCAGGGCCTGATCCTGGAGACCCGGGATTGAGTCCCACATCGGGCTCCCTACATGGAGCCTGCTTCTCCCTCTGCCTGTGTCTCTGCCTCTCTCTCTGTGTCTCTCATGAATAAATAAATTTAAAAAAATTTTTTTTAAGAAAATTCAGTTAAAAAAATAAATAAAAACAAATAATAAATAAAATAAACCTCCTCGTTGTAAAAGAATAATCTTCCTAAAGCTATTGGTGATTCATGTAGGGCAATATATATATGAGTCTGAAGAATTACCAAGAAATGTGTAGAAGAAAACCAACAAGTACAGAAACATGAAGAAATATGGGTCAGTTTATAAATCAACTCCAAAATTATTCTTTAAAACTCTTTGATGTGTTAATTGGGAGACACCTCTTAAGCACTCACAAAGCTTTGACCTGGTCTACTGGACATGCTTATCTAGGATATAAATAAAGATGTAAGATAGGCTTATCAAAGGTATAGCTGACTCAGAGGTTAAAAATGGCTAAAATAGGGGCACCTGGGTGGCCCAGTGGGCTAAGCATCTGCCTTCGGCTCAGGTCGTGATCTCAGGGTCCTGGGATTGAGTTCTGCACTGGGTTCTGCTCTGCGGGGACTCTGCTTCCTCCTCTCCCTCTCCTTCTGTGCTCTCTCTCTCAAATAAGAAAGATAATAAGTAAGATAATAAGATAAATAAGAAATCTTTAAAAAGTAAAAATAAAAACGGCTAAAATTTAATATAACAGAACTATGATTCTAAATGTATAAAGATGGAACAATATGATAGTGTTATTGTCAAATACGGAGGAAAAACATTTCATTATTCAACAAATATTCTCTACCATGTATTGGTAACAGATGGAAAAAGATACCAAAACTAAAAAGGAGCCCTTGCCCTCACAAAGTTTATCAACCAAAAAAT